ACAGCCGATAGGATTTCGCGTGATGGTTGATTTCCAAAATCAACCATCCCCACTCTCTGAAATGCTGATTGTTAAGACCATATTCTAGTGAAATATTGCACGTCTGTCACGAAATTGCGCTTTTATCGCGCCTAGAAATCAGACTCGAACACCAGATAACAACAACATTTTAATTGATATGTACGATGTATTAAACTAAACTACAATCATGGCAAATATCATAATATCATATCACAAAAACACCCAAAGAGCTATCACACTTAAGCCTATAGCACTTTTTTACGTATTTAAGAGAAATCACTTTTACGCACACTAACGTAAGCTGCACGTTACATTTGTGTCGTACACGTTTCGAGCACGCACACAAACCTGGTTTACATTTGCATAAGTGGGGGTGGGGGGATAAAGAAATTGAACATGTTCAGATTTTTCAGTGTATATGAGCTTGAGAGTCATAAGTAACCCATACGCAAAAGTGAGGCTTAAGGTACATTGCAGTACGCGGTTCATACGGTAGTCGGTAAAGCCAGCGTATGTGACGTAATGCTGACGAACGAGTTACATATCTCTAACGATTGATAAACGTATGTTAATGTATGTCTGGCGTATATTAACGTATCCCTTGCGTATATCAGCGTATGCCGAACTGATTTAATGTATATCTGATGCATGTTTGGCGTATGGAAAATGTACATGTATCCCTTGCGTTTTGTAATATGTGGTATAAACAGAGGTCTCTGTCCACAGCCTCATCACAGCGGTTCCAGACAGAGATACTGGAAGTACCTGTTTCTTAACACCAATATGATCTTTTCAATGTTCAAAGTTATGAACCGTAGAACGATACAAATCCGTTATTGTAAGGCTCACATACGTTGCTCGTACACATATACGGTGCTCGTACGCTCATATACGGTACTCGTGCGCCCGTTCGCAGTACTCATACGTTGATATACGCCACACTTGCGATGACATACGTTAAGATACGCTCGTATACGTTATGCACACGCAATGCAGACGCAAGTCGTACGATGCAAATGCGCTACAAAGGAAAAGGGTGATTTCGCTCGCCCAAAGATGCACGTATAATCGATTTCACATAAGACACTCGTACGAGACTTAATACGCTAGAGTGTGACAGAGCCTTTAGCTACTGATATATTATTATCTCCGATCCACAGTATTGTTCGATCGTGCCGTGTGCACAGGTGCAGTAAGTCTGCACTTGTTGATGGAACGTTCGCTCAGGAAGAAGCTCAGTTTTCAACTTTGCAATGGAATCGAGCACCGGAATTGCGCACGCTCGTAATCACAAACATAGAATTCTTTTGAGAGAAGCAGATATAATAACAGCAGTCATCTCTGTCTATCTGGAAACATGTTCGTATTAGCTTCTTTGACCTTCGTGTGGTTGGTAATAAAAACGATCCCAAAAAAAGAACGTTATTAATGTAACGCTGTGTCTGTATAGATATAATATGGCAGAACCCCACACGCAAATGCAAATTGAGAAAATGCCGTCGTAAAGAAGCCTATTTATTTCATAGCTATGCGGGAGACTTATTTGTTATAATTTTTTTTCAATTTGGTAAACGCACACTACCAGCTCATAGACATTTACGACTGCAGGGATGAGAAAATATTATTTTCTTCTGATTGAAAAGGACTAAGCCTCACGGACTCCATTTTTTTAGATTAAACGACCTCAAAGCTAAGGTCCTCGTGTCCGCTGGGCGATTCTCTTATGAAGAAACATAAATGGACGTAGTTGATTTAAATGCCTGTGCGGTACAATTGCTTCCGTCGGTAATAAAAACCTGGGGATGATCATGATTCTTCTCGTTTATTGGAAGAACGGTAGTGTGTTTAAAAACTGGCCCTCTAAGAAACCAGTAAGTCCTCAGTAATAAGGTTATTAAATGTCTTTGCAAAGATGTAAGTAGTTAACATCCGTATACAACCCTGCAATAGTGAAGTATTTGAGGCAGTGTGCTTTTCAGCTTCACTGTGTAAAAGATATCAGCTTAGCAACCTATCAATCCTCACAAGTACTGGACTGGGAGTTTTTACCTATAAACTGATAAAAACACACCTGACGGCTTGAATGCAGTTTGCCGGTCGTGACTTCATCTCAATGACGACGTATATAAGAACTGCATTACAAATCGCAAACACATGTTAGACGGTTGGATATCGGTGATCACTGACACTCATCTACACGTTGTGAAATTGTGGAAATAATATTTAAAATTGCTCACATGCCAGAACCGCTTTGCAAATTGAAACGGTCGAACATTATTTGTTTTAACATGGAAATTTATTAATATGTGCAATCTGATAATGGGAAATTCCATTCACGGATATCAACACAAGGCATGAAGCCTTCCTAAATTGCTATGCGCCGTTTTCGAGGATGATGGGTATTCACTGTGACTTTTCCTGAGTCATAGAAAGGTTTCAGACACGCTTCTTTTTATTCTGAAAAGGCAAAAGCAGTATTCAAACATCATTTTGACAGGCTTGTAATTAACATTTGCAATTTACATTTATTTTTATGTACTGGACATGTTGCTTGGGTTCTCCTGGATATTCAAAATATTTCCTACAGCAAAAGTCAGAATTTTTCTTCTTCTCTCAATTGCCTTTTGCATTAACAGGGCGCTGTGGTAAAAAAAAAGCTCAAAGTAAACTAGTGTCTCAGAAATACGCACCTCCCCAGGGTTTATTTGTAATATATAAGAAAATTGAATGGGGATGTTGTTATAATGTTCCTGTATAGCCTGTTCCCCCGAGAACATAACTACTGTTAGGAAAGTCCTGAGGTCAATGAACTGACCCGGTGGTCAGTAAGGAATATAAATTCTATCAGGCCCGACGGCAAGAACGGTTTGGGGGGAGGGGGTCAAAAGGACCGGTCCTTTGGCTACAAAAAATGTACACTTTGAATCCAAGTGTAGGGCTATGCTATTGCAAAAGTTGTGTCATCAAAGGGGAATTTTTTTCAAAAGGTCCACTTTTTTGGAAAAAGACCTCCTTTCCCTTTAAAATTGTAAGGTACTGGGCTGGTCTTCCTCTCTTTATGAATATATGATTAGAAGTTTGCGCAAAGCAGATTGGATCGAGCGGCAACGTGGGTCCAGCCACACGTTTGTCAACTAAAGAAAACAGCAGAGCAATGGCAACCTCTTGTAGCAAACGGTTTGAAATAGACTGCAATCTCTTTCATTAGGAGATAGTTGTGAGATGGCTGTGTGTGTGAACGCGACTTCATGAGTTTTGCACCTGATGCCCCCGATCAGCGTTTCAAACAAATAGCACAAAGGCTTTCTTTTGGTCTCCAGTGGCGATTTGCATGAAGAAACTAATACAGAATCTGGGAAATTATTCCGGGAAAGTACTTCAGACAGTGTGATAGAGTAGTAACGTGACGAAGTGCATTTCCCATTAGACCAATCGAGTGTTTTCTTTTACTTCAGTTGTACTTCTACACCTGGGTTTCTCTTTGATATACAGTGTGAGTGTTATTTTACGTACTTTTAACATTTTTTCTGTTGACTTATCTCATCAAAGATTGCGTAAAGGTATTTTGTTCACTGAAACTCAAAGCAGGCGTAAAAGAGCCTTGAGGGACTGCAAATTGCAAATTTCCTCACATCGATTGTGACATGAATGAAATTATCTTGATGAGATTTTTTCCAAGAAGAGATAGGAAAATGTAGACAATTTGGTCAAATATAATTGAGACTGAAAATTTTGTCATCCCCAAGTGGGTAACAATTTTAATAACAGTATTTCTACCTTTAGTTGACTGATTGAGATGGCGAATCCCCCCAAAATACAGATCAGATCCTGTGTGTCAAAATAACAGATAAATGATTTGCATAGATTGTATGTTATACCGTATATCACAAATCAAGAACAAATTGTCTTGGGACTTAGAAAAGCGTGAAAACTCTTTAAAAAGACACGACAGCAGCTGGCACATGAAATAAGGGACAAACGACATTATTGTCGAAAGGCAACCCTGGATCAGAAAGAAATCCAAAATGATGATTCCGCTATTTGGACACTCACATCTTCTAAGTAGGCCCTAATGGCCTCCTTATACAGTGTATGACCAAAGCATCTTTTAGCGCTCAAAAGTAATGTTTTATATATCCTCTCCTGCCAGCAGGTGATAGGTCAATGGCCCTTGATGACCAGATTATACCACAAAATTGCGCATTCATCATGGGCTGTCTTTTTATCTATTTTGCTATCAATTATATAGAATGGATCTTCATCAATTGCTGTCACCGTTTGTTGAAGTGTCGTGATACCTATCAGTCCGTGCCGTAGATTTCTCATTCCAAAGGAGAAGTTTACATTGCGCGTATTCTTTCGGGTTTTTTTTTTTTAAGCAGATGGGATGACTCAAAAATGCAGTGCGGTTAAGAATTCTCAGCTGCAGAACGCAGACAACAATTTCACCGTGTTTTAACGACAGCATTTCGAGATGGCGGGAAATGAATGGCAAAGAATTATAATTTGGAGAAAACAGAGTGCTATAGAAAAATTGGATTTAGAACGAATTTAGCCCAAGGATCAGCGACAAATGACCAAAAGATATTGTTTTCTAGATAGCCTTGTAGCTCGCTAAGAGTACAATTAAGTAACTTGGGCTGCCTTCACAACCAGTTGATTGGCGGGCTAACTATGGATTAACGCCTCCCACGCTCTCCGTCCTAGCAGGGGCATAGCAATTAAGTCTGGGCACGCTTTCAATTGGGTAGCGCCATATTTGATCCGCGGACTAGTTAGTCGGCGGATTAACTGGTTGTGAATACGGCCCAAGTCGATGAAGGTTGGGCAGTTATGACAATCCCGTACGGGTTTAACTTTGAATTTGTTGGATAGTTCGATGTAGTTTTTTCCAATGATCTAAATTTCGTAACAATCTCCAACGGATAATTGGGTTGCCCAGGCTTTGTTTTTTAGATCGACTTTGCTTCTCTTTGCAGATGCAACCGGAAAATGTTATTACAGAATTACCGATAACAGGCTCCCAGTGAGGAGAGTGTGAACCGTGTGAAAAACGCATCATCACCCACTCAGACCATCGGCGAAATAACTAGTAAGGTGGATATTTTTTATAAGAGAATTCTCAGCGGTCATAGAGATACCAGCCATCAGTGATTACTTCCTGCCCCAGTTCTCATTCACGGAAAACAGAAGTATTCCAATGCTGTTTACCTAATAGCTTGGAGATTGCTGTGGGCTGCTCAACTCTTTGACGGTGTGCCAGTCGGACGTGATGAATTGATAAAGAATGCATTGAGATTTTGAATCTGCCTTTTAAATGTTTTGGACTTGAACATTTTTATTTCTGTGTGGTACTGTAGTGTACTTTTCCACTGAAGCCGATAGTAACTGCTTACTTGCCAATTTTCAAAATACGTGGTTAAGTTACAGGACTGGTGTGATACTGTGAATTAACTACAAATCAAACACGTTGTCAAGATGGCGAATGATACTACAGCTTATACAACTTTAACGTGGGTTTCAAATGTGACACCAGCGAGAGGTGCAGGTGAGGATTTAATTCCGCCACACTGTCAAGGACCCAGCGGCCACGCCAACATGTGCTCATGGCAGTTTATATTGCTAACAACCACGTTGGTTATCTTGGAATTCATGGTCGTGCTGGGAAATATACTAGTCATCGTTGCGACGGTGAAATTTCGCAGACTTCGGCGGCGGATTACAAACTCTTTCATTGCAAGTTTAGCCGTAGCGGACCTGCTTTTGGGGATTTTTGTATTGCCTTTATCAATAACAAATGAAGTCTCAAAACACTGGGTCTTCGGGCCTTTGATCTGCGACATGTGGCTGGCAGTTGACGTCTGGTTGTCCACGGCTTCGATACTGAACTTGTGTGTCATCAGCTTTGACAGATACCTTGCCATAACGCGCCCCATCAAATACATGAGCCGCATGACAAAAAGAATGGCACGTTTCCTCATAGCAGGTGCTTGGCTACTTGCGTTCTTGGTCTGTTTTCCGCCCCTGTTAGGGTGGACGGATAGACATTTTGGACAGCCTATAACAGAGGTGACACTGAGCCCGAAAAAGGTGACGCAACGTGACGCAAATCTGACAGTCTTCAAAATGACTATGGAAACAAGCACAGTTCAATTCACAAAAGATAATTACCAGCTGCATACAAATAGGTTAAATAAGCTAGAAGACGTTGGGCAAATATACAAGAATGTGACCCCTCACAAACTGAATTCAAGCAATGGCATGATGTCTAATGGAGAAAGTATGCATTCATGCAATCTTGTCGCTGAACCTGGGTATCGTATATTTTCCGCTCTCGGTTCCTTCTACATCCCGCTTGTATTTTTATTATTTTTCTATTGGAGAATCTACAGGGCCGCGTCAAAGACGAATCTCGCAATTCGCCAAGGTGAGAAAATTACGCGATCGTCTGCTATCGGCAACGAAAAGTCGGATGATGTTGTGACACTAAGAATTCATAGAGGGCGCGACAGCTCGTTGTCGTCTTGCAAATATTCGTTGGAGAAGCCGCCACCGATCAACCAATTATCGAGGAGCAGTGAAGTATCGGATGAAGATTCAATAGAGAACGTAACCGAAATTCCCGAGTTAGGTAGCGTGCAAAGTTACGAGTCTCTCGCTCATGTGCACAGTGTGAACGGAACGGAAGTGGCAGTCACCAAGTGTGTGGTTAGTAATTGTAAACTTAACGTCGACGGTGAAAACTCAGAAACGACCACTACGAGTAGTCATCATAACAGTGAAGACATTGACGTGTACAGCGACGTGGGCTTAGTTTTGAAACCTTACTTTGTGCTTCAGAAAATAAAGACAGAAAAAAATGCTATCACACGGGCCCTCACTGCTACGGCATCTCCAACCAGACGGAGAATTCAGCAAAATAACTCTAGTGCCAATTTGGCCAACAGATACTCTATGCGTGCCATCAGAAGGCAAAATTTGAAAAAGGCCATAAAGCGAGCCCAGCGTGAGACAAAGGCAGCTAAAACGGTGGCTATAATTGTTGGCGCGTTTGTACTTTGCTGGTTGCCTTTCTTTGTAGTGTATCTGATCGGAGCGTTCTGTGTTCTGTGTGTGCCCGAGTCACTCTTTACAATTTTCTTTTGGATCGGGTATTGTAACAGTGCCATCAATCCTTGCATTTATGCGTTTTTTTCGAAGGACTATCGACAAGCTTTCTTTGCGTTAACCACCTGTAAACGCCATTTCATGCAACACAGTGGACAATCGATTTTCCAAACAAACGGCTAGATGTTTAAAAAAACTGCTCTTGATACCAAAGCAACGTTCAAACTGGAAATCAAGGAAGTCGTGAAAAATCAAGTTATTTGTTGTTTATGTGATATCTATTGCTTTCAATTTTGCTATTTAAGAACTGTCCTTTTAGGTTTGCTATCGCTCTTATTTGATATGAAATAAAGGTAACACAGTTGGCAGCTACAGACTTCATATATTGTCATTGCCTGCTATTCAATAAATCCATTAGGCATTTTTACGTTCTTCCCATAGGCTGTGATTATCTCATAGGTTTGTTGTATCAATTTCCATGACATTTCTAACATTTCTGTCCGTGCGTCATCTCCGTTGATTGATTGTGTGATACGGTAGTTTGTCTTTTGTGCACGAATATTGTCAAACAAATAACATAGGGTTCTCGCCCGTCCTTCTGGAATTGATTGTTTTCAAAGCTACGGCTACTACAGGATATAAATGAGGTTGGGATTTATAAAGCAAAGCTATTTCACAACAAAAACAAAAGCTATTTGCGTACCGGAACAAACACATATTGATGTTGAAAAAGTTGCTTAGCTGTCGTTTGTACATGTAAGTACAATACTTTTTTGGCTTTCGTAAAAAAACAGTTCGTTCATGAATTGCTCGCTAGTTTATAGCTGAAATATCATGTATCAACAGTAGATATTTCCCATTAACCGTGAATTGCAAAACATATGCATGATGGAAGTAAATTATTTGAAGGGTTAGCACGAATCAGCACAGTTGAGTATGTATTTCTACTGTATTTACGTCAATACAAAGTGCAACCACAACCACATTACCAAAATGCTGACATATGTAATGCAAGAAATGCTCAGTAAAACTGTAAAAATACTAGTATACACTGTAACTGTATCCCCGCAAGTAAATGTTTCTGAAATATTTTGTTTCACTGTTATAAAGACACACACACACATGTATATATATATATATATATATGTAATTTTGTAAATAATTACCAAGTATTGTTAGAAATAATAATAATAATAATTGAGGCTGCTTTGGCATTATATAAACCCTAATATTATTGAAACAGTATACAAACAGACAACTTTTTCTTTCTAAACAACTAATTATTGGGAAAAGGTGACAACCAATTCAAAATGGAGCAATCATTCACGCTTGAATTTTTCTTTTCTTAAATAACTGATCAGAAGAGGCAGTGTAAACCTGTGAGAAAAGTATCGAATATATTACTTGGTTATCTGAAGCAAATTAGATGAAACTTGGTTTTAAGCAATTACATTATGGCCTAATAGGAGTAGCAGTCGCATTGGGTACTCCCAATGCGCAAATCACAGACAGATAAATTGAGGCAAGAATGCAGAAAAAAGTTATTAGCCAGCGGTGTTGATATTTTGATTGGTTTAACCAAATACATGCAATTACCAAAATCATCCTTGCTTTTGCAATTTATAGTGAAATAAGATCATACGACATCGACTTGTGAAGAACGATGAAGTTAACAGAGAAAAGACACGAAAACGATTTCCTGGACATTTGCCGCAAAAAGAATCCCCCCCCCCCCCAAAAAAAAAAAAAATGGCAAAGCAGAGGCGACAACATAACACATACGGATTGTGGTAAACGAGGTGAGGGGCCTTGTAGTGCGCAGGTTATATTGAGGTGCTCGTAACAGGTATATTTACGATAGCATCATGAAAACATGGGTTAAGCTAGATCACAATCACATATCTGGGGCTCGGAACAAACAGTAATTATGTTTATAAGGCTTGAGCTTTATTTATTTTTTGCATACTATGCACCACAGGTATTTTGTGTCCTGGCAACTTTTTTGTTATTCTACAATATCCAAAATTGGCTGTGACGCAAGAACAACGTTTTTGTTACTTGCCAAAAATCGCAATTATATTGGTCTGCTGGTTTGTGCGTTTGGCATTGGTGAGTTTGCGGTCAACATTTTTTCGTCCTGGGGATAGAGGCCACGATTTTAGATATTTTTGTTTCAACATTTTTGTAGATTGATAATAGTCTCAAGATGAAATGATGTGATTTTCATGAGAATCAGATTACAATTTGCAAAATTTTATAGAGTATTTTAGAATTTCGATCTCTCATTCAAGATAGACGTGTGCGAAGAGAGAGTGCATGAAGTGTTAGACACAATAAAATTGATTGCACCTGTCATTTTTATGTAATTTAAGACAATCAATGAATACTATTGTAAACTGTTTACAGTACTTTGATATCAGAGTGATCCATAAGCAACTTCCACGGGCAACACATTCATCATGCAACAAATGTAACACAACAGTTTTGGTACGTTTTCCGGAGATCAACTACTATCGACACGTTTATTTCTCTGGCTGAGACAGCATGGACAAACCAGCTATCAGAATACAAACTAGTCTCATATATACTATACATGAGATGAAGCACATAAGAAAATACCAAAGAGATATTGAATCCAATTAAGACACGTTTAATACAGACCTTTAACACAATTAAACTGAGACTGATTTGAAACGAAACCGTGAAAGAAGTAACACAATCCTTTTACAACTGAGAGCATCCTTTAAAACTTGATTACAGTTTTTTTTTCTGATGAATAGAATACATTTACAGATTCATTTTTATTTAATCATTGGTAGTTTGGAATATTGCACATACTGTGCTGCTGGACCAAAGGAATGCGTGTAATGAGTCGCATTTTCACATTACACAATAGAAAAATAATTTTAATGGACTTGATATGTATCTTCTAATATTACAAGGGTCTCAAGTATAGCCTGTTACAAAAGCGAAGAAGAGAGTTTTCAGCAATTTTGTACCAGATTTAGAGCGACCCGCGTGGTACGAGAGAGCAGCCCGGCCATAGGAGCCTGGGCACGCATAATTTAGTAGACCACAAACATGCAAAAAACAGCACCATGCCAATTTTGCGAAAAACTGGGCCCCATAGATGCTTATATAGTTTGCAAGTCCTTGCTCTAGCAATTTCATTTATTCATTCATTTAATCATTTATTTGCAGTATTTATTTATTTATCCATCTAGCGGTGCTATTTCAAACACTCAATGCTTTATTGACAGATTTTACAACACAAGGGAATTCACGTAAATCTTCATCCAAACTTGCCACTTGTCACTGCAGAAACATTTATGATCTTTTAAATGACGACATGCAGTAATTACGATGTTGTAGAATCATGACGAGTTCTTTGTTTGACTGGGACTTCCTTTTCCCCGCTTATTCTTTCTGCCAAAGCTGATACACTGATAAAATGTCATGAAACTGAATTACATTGGTTTAATTTGACATAGTGGCTTATCACTTAAAGACAATGGGATCAAGATATCACTCTTATCTTACACCTTTCAAGTAATCTCGTTATCAAAGGAAAAAGAATGAAAGACGTACACCGTGGTTTAAAAAAGGTAAAGGACATGCTCAAACTGGGCAGTTAATTCAGATATATTAAATGGGGTTTCATTGGGCTACATCACATCCTTGAAAAGAGAAGAAAAAAAACTAAAATCTGTGATGATCTTTCACCGAGTAATTTTCATTCTAATAACGTAATAAGAAGAAATTGACAAACTGACAAAAATTGAGATAACTGCATATATATACCCGTTCCTGGGTTACTACTAGGTTCCTCCTGACATGTACCGGTATAATAAAAATGGAATGACAGGCTATTTTAATTATAAAAAGGCAGAAGGGAAATACTCGACTTCAAAAAGCTACGTGGTACTGACACAATTGAGCATTTACATAAAAAAAACGTTCCTTTTGGTATCGATACAACTTATGAATCTTGAACAAGATGACTGCTGTCACTTTCTTGTCCCATTTGTCCTATTCCTACATGCGGATCAAGATGTGCCGAGCTTCTGAGTCAAACATTGCACCCACCGCTAAAGTTAAAAGGGGAATAAAACGTGTGGCGATACACAGAAATGAGTGGTAAGTAAAAGCCACACAGAGAGACCATACATCATTCACTTTAGTAGTCTGGCACCTTGCAAGATTCCCTAGTAAATCTAGTATGCTTCAGTCATAGTGTAGATTTAAGTGTAGGAAAAGGCGTCAATTGAGGGGAAAAGCTGAAAGTATGACCCGTGTTTTCAGTTGGTGTGTGTGTG